ATCTTGTAGTAATATTTACAAATTTGCCCACAAAAGTAACTTTTTTTAAAAAAATAGACAATAAATTAATAAACCCACCATTCACAACTCTCTCTATCTTGAACCTTTATAATTTGAAAGGTTATGAAGTTTAGAATATCTTTATATATATATATATATATATAGTATTGTATTTCATGCAACCGTTGTATAGTAATATGACGCAATAACTTTAAAAACCATCTTATGACTATTTGTTTGATCCAAATTTTGAAATATAGACTCTTTTCATTCTAATCAACAATCACAAAAAAAAAAAATTGAAAACACAACTTATAAATTATTTTTTTAGCCCAATTAACATAGGCCATTCATTTTGGTGAGATGATTAGATCAAGGTTTTAGAAAGATTTTTTCATTTTCAATTTTATTGGATGACTTTATTATCATTAGATGAACAATTTTAAAAAATAAAAAAATGATTTTGATTTCATAAAGACTAAGATATTGAAATTCACAAAATGAGTGGTCTATATTCATTTTTGGAGGAGACTCATTTTGACCATATCTAGAAATTGAACCTTTTTTATTTACTTATTTATTTATTTATTTATTTATTTTTAGATTGATTATTGAGATGAAAAGAATGTGCGTGCAAAATTTGGGGTCATACAAATACCATAAACATGGTTTTTTAGAAGTATCGTTTTATTATACTATGATACAACCGTTGCATTGGATCATTGCTTTTACATATATATCACAAATAGATTTCTTATTTTTTTATAAAATTTTTTAATATCCCTAAGACACCTAACTCGGTAAAACTCGAGCTTGCCAGGGGCGAGCCCGAGCGCTCACGACTCGGACCGACTAGTCAAACGCTGATCATCATCACTAAATATACACCTGACACCATGACGGACAACACTTTCACATTTCTCCCTGCAACGATCATCCCTAAGGTTTTTTTGAGTTTTTTATTTTAGGGGTTGGTAAGCGGTGGGAATACAAAAAGAGAGGGTAGCCTACCTCAAATACATACGAAAGCCACGACGCGCAGGAGAATTATTCAGAGCTTCAATAAGAAAATCAGACTTCTTTATTTTTAAAAGGAGGTGGTTAAGACTTTTGACAGGATGACAGATTTTTTATGAGGAATATCGATTGTTCGACAATATCATCTATCTACAAAGTAAAACGCTGAAAAGAATGCTTGAAAGGGAAAACTGGCAATGAATGGTGATTAAAAAATACGAATTGGGCCCTGAATTGCTAGGTTCTGGTTTCAATCGCGCAGTCCGATGCTGGAAATTATTGTGTAAAATTGGGTTCTAGTTAACATAATAAAATAAAATAAAACAAAAAAAATGACAATGGAAAAGATTGAGGTTCCAAAAACCAAAATCGCCCACCTTCCAATCCTGGTAGAAGGTTTTAAATACTGCTCTAAACAAAATCAGTTAAATCACTTCTTCAGTATTCAAATACCGATTTGTTGATGAAAAAAATTGGAACATTTTACCATATCTTTCATGTTTGGTGTATCACTATAGAAAAAGTTTAAATAAGAAGATAAAGCGTACCTTGGAGCCCAATGAAAATTGGAAGTCCAATTGATCATCTGGCTTCAAGATGTATGGATATAAAAAAAAACATTTTCAAATCCTTAAAAACAGTGCATTGTATAATATAATATTCTAGACCGTCCATTTTGAAGATGTTCAAGTATTTATAGATATAGTTGATTTGCACCATTTTTGGATTATTAAACTTCATATGGCTGAAAATAGGTTTTCATGTCATCGTGAAGATCTCCAGCACTTGCATCTTGCAAAATTTGAAGATGCACCTTATTTTGATTGTTTAAATGTTGACTCCGTAGATAAACTGCACCCTATTACACCATATGCATCCCAGTCCATCTTAGAAATGCATTTTGGATTTAAAATTTCACTCTGAATAATCGACCACCATGATTTGTACCTTTTAAAAAAAATGAATCTAAACCTTAAAATATGCTATTTTAAAAGAATTAAAAATAAATAATCCAAAAACAAAATTTAAAATCGTACATCCTTAAGATTTAAATTTTACTTGTTTTCAGATTCATGATCATTGTGGTTCATACTACGGATCAGTTAAAATTTAGATTCAAAATAAAGATTGGATTTTGGAAGAAGACTGCACTTCAACAGGATTGGATTTTGGAAGGAGACTGCATTTCAACAGGGTGCATAGGCTGACGCACAGAGACCCATCCTTTCAGTATAATGATGAAGAGCTGTTTTGTTCTTTTATTTTAAAAGGAAAAATATAGGGGCATCGTTTTTAGTAGATGAGAGTAAAAGAGCATTTAAGGAACGATATGATGAAATCCCATGTCAATTAGTTCAAGTGTTCAACTAAAAATTGCGTTAGATAAAATAATGACACGAGGGGATACGCCAAAAACATACGTCATCCTATGTCAAAATTGACAGACATTCATGTATTTCTATTGTTTCTTAAATTCAGCAGATATTTTTGGATGTTTTATGGTGGTCGGATGCCTGCCTTAAACTTTTTCTTAACCGGTCGTCTTAAGCTCGGGTAGAATGACAGATTGGGTTAGATAGATAATCAATATAAAATTTTGTTAAAGAATAGCCTACCCGATTAACTAAGAAAAAGCTTTGATGATGATGACGATCTTTAGATCTTATTATGAAACCCATAAAATTCATATTTCAATTCCTTACATGCCTAAATGAACAAAGAGAAACTTAAGTATGAACGTCATGGACTAAATACATTTCCAACATAACTCGTGGTTCAACTACTACTGGTCAGACATCATTTACGCATAATCAAAATTCAAAACTCATAAATTTTGATAATTTCTTCATTTCTAGTGTTCTGCATATTAATGTAACCATGCACAACTCTCCACAATGATTGCTTAAAAATATTTTTTTCGTGGAAACAAGTCCACATAAACCTCACCTCTGCCACAAAAATGATCCCAGGCTCTCCTTCTAGAATAGTGAGATATCTGGAGGGGGACCATAAACAGTCTTCCATGATAGAGGAATAAGCCATCCTCCAGGTTCATTTGCTAAAAATGAATGACAGACAATAAATGTCATTCATATCAATAATAAAAATAAAAATAATAATAATAAACAAACAATTATTATTCTAAAATCATCAAATTCCTATAATTTTGCAAATGGGCCAAAAAATACTTGATTCCTATTTCCAGATGCCCCAAAAAGAAGAAAAATGAAAAAGAGCGAAAGAAACATTGTAGCATGAGAAAAATTACCATGGATGTCATTCATTCTCACACCAAGAAGATGGCATGCTGCCTCTGCCATTCGGAAAGAATCAGGTATATTGTCTCCTTCAGAACAATAGCTCAATATGCAAGTCACTTTCAAATCTTTTGCCTGATAATGTCAGTATCCCAAATGTTCATTAGGGACACAGTCAATTTACATGTGCTAAGCTAAATGGTTTGTACCATACAACACATTAGACAAGTGCTTTAAAACCCGAAATCGGGTGTTGGATAGGCCTTCTGGTGTACCGATCCATATTTGGTGATCGAATCCAGATCAGCCAATTTTCTGGGGTCAAAAGAAAAAACAAAAATGTAGAAATTTAAATTAAGTGGGAATGACCCAGTTCTATGACCTGGATCGCTGATTCAACGGACAAATCGCAAGTCTCTGACAAAACCAAGATTCCCACCTAATCGAACTGATTCCGTGTTCGGCAAAGAAACTGGATTAGTTCCCTACTGAACCCAAACAAAATAATTGATTCCCAATCCAGATTGGCAATTTTTAAACACTACAATTGACTAGCAAGACACTATTACAATAACTATTAAATACACAAGAACAGAGAAAAAAATCAGAACAATAGTCGCGGTACACTAAGAAAACCTATGAACTTCTTCCCCACATTTATTTTTCCTTTTGCCAGGGTGGAGGGGAGGGAGAGAATCGTTAGAGTAGCAAAAAGTACCTTGCAGCAAGAAAATAAGGCAGCAAAAGGTAGACTCGGGTAATAATCTTCATCTGTCAACTCATCATCAAAAGAGAGGAAGTCATCTGGCACAATATTTCCTTCTGATAAAGAAACAAGATATTGCCATCTCTTCTGGGTTGGACTGTATTCTGGAAGTCTTTTCCACCCTAAATGCTTGCATACCTCATCTGTTCCATCCACACTTGCACTCGAAATATAATGAATCTGCATGTTACTAAAGCGAGCACAAGCATCAATTAGAACAGACTCATAAAAATAAGAACAATCAAATGAGGAATGCTAGGACAGATAGCTCTTGCTTGTTTACCTAGACAAGTCACATCTTCGCCTCCTTCCCGAATCTAGACCCGACAAAATAATAATATGTGTTTTACCCATGTCAGATGCACAAGAAGCGAGATTCTTTGCAAACTCAATCATCATCCCCTATATAAAGAATGATATCAACCTGTTTAGGTTCATGTTTGTCCAAGGAAATGAAAATTCATAAGAGAGTAATAGCACAAGAGATAAGCATCAGTCTGAGGCATAAGTTCAAGACCAAAACAACATAACTTGGACACAAGAGTTTTTGGTTATTGGCCTGTGTTCACACACCAAGGACACACATCAACACATACGTCCGATAGTATAGAAACTTAGAGACTTCTTCTTCAACATTTATTTTCCTTTTCCTTTTTACTTGTTACTCTAAAAGTACTAAGGGCACATTTGGCATGCATGAAAATGTTTTTGTGAAAGTATTTTTACATGAAAGAACTCCCCCAAGTGATTAGGTATGAAAGTTTTTTCACATTAATTGGCTACTAATTGGTGCAAAAATGCGCTGTGACTAATTGGTGCAAAAAATCTCACACATAATCACATGGGAGAGTTCTTTCATATGAAAATAATTTCACGAAAATATTTTCACGCGCGCCAAATGTGCCCTACATGTCACACAAAATCCCACCTCTATTACAAATCATGTACAAGTGTCATGTCTAAAAGGCGTCATGTCTAAAAGGCAAATTTTGATGTTGGTGTTTCTGACACACATATCAATGTTGGACATTGACACGTGTCTGGATAAAAGAAATGCATTTTCCAGATGAAATAAATGAATTGAACATAACGCCTACGTAACCATGAGTTAATGAAAGCATGATAGAATGTGTATGAAATGTATAGCATCAACCACCACATACATTAAGTTCAAAAAAACACCAAAAATTATCCAATATTGGATCTTCATGGCTAAGAGAAACAATAAGTGGTGGGATGTCTGATGCTATCCTAAAGCGATGCACCTCTTTCCCTCAAACAATCATATCTACTACCAATAACACTAAGACCAGACTGGACTAGCTGGTCTGACCAATCGGAACAATCACCAAACCCCCACCAATCCGATCGGTGATCCGAAACTAGAGTGGCATCAAACCCGTATCAAACCGGAATATATCCTATTTGATGCCTCCACTAGCAGGGTCAACTAATCCACACTGGACCTGACGTTCCCAATTCCTACACTGCTAAAAAGAAACTTTTTTAGTCCTGCCCCATTTTTAGGTCCATATGCCCACACATCTGGTTGCTTTTGTCCAAACAAATGTAATTGGATGGGGCCAAACCAGTTCTGAGATGCTATGGGTCCGGCCTGGTTCTCCCCCAAATCACCCCCTCCCCGCAAAAAATATTTTTTTTTCTTTCTTTTTTTTTAAGCTTATCTAAATGTTTCCTTAGGTTCCATCTAAATCCCCACCCCATAAATCTTTATTTTAATTTTTATTTTATTTTTTTCATTTTTTAATATTTCCTGGATTAGTGGATTACTGAATTGGACCGATTTGGATCGCCGATCCAACGAACACGGATATGTGCGTGAATGATCTGTCCCACCAATCTGGGTTTTAAAACACTGGTCCTAACAAACACTTTAGTTGGTTTGGGGGCATAAAAATATTATTTTAAGAGACAATGAGGGCAAGTAGGCAATTTTGATTCCCCCACCTCCCCAAAAAACACAAAACTTCTTCTCTTTTCTCTCTCCCCTGACACCCCTCAATCTGAAGGCCATTTTTGGGGGATCCTTGTGACATTTCCAGCCATATGTTGGGGACTTTATCCACCTCCCAAGTAGGGCATTTTAGGGGTTAGGGCAAAAGGAAGTTTTCTGAAAACATTATAATTGGGTTATTTTTAGTGTAAAATATTGCAGGCTTTGGGTAGATTTTGTTTATTTTTGGGATATCGATAATGGGTGTTTCGGTTTTGTTTAGTTCATTCATTTTCTTAAAGAGATTTTTTGTTGTTCCTTGGAACCATGGAAGTTACAATAGGTTTATTGCACTGCTTATTTTTGTTTTTTAGGTTGAATATTGGAGGTTTTGGGGCTGATTTTGATATATTTTTTGCTTATTATGATTTGAATAATCGATGTTTTTGGGATATCGATAATTGCAGTTTCGATTTTGTGAGTTCATTCATTTCGGCTTGTCAGGTTAAAGTTTAGGGGTTTAGGGGTGGTTCTTAACTTTTTTGAAAAGGATAAGTAAGGGGGTTTTGTGTAGGTTCTTGTAAAAAAAAGTTCAAATTTTATTGAATTTTTTCCTTTTGTCTCAATTTATTTGTTATTTTTATGAATTTTTTATTTTTTAAAAAAATTTGACCAGTCATATAGTGAACTCGTCAAGTTCAACCAGCCTAACCGAATCAGTGCATCCACAAATTAGATGACTCGTCTGGTCCTGATAACACTTCAGTTTCTAAATAAACAAGAAATGCATAGTAGTGTATAATAGAAGAAAGGACAGCAACGCACATATGCTGCTACTTGCGAAAAGAAATGCAATAACTCCCTTATACTACGAGCAGAAGGTCTACCACTTGGGTCATTGAAGATCCTAGAAGACTAAAGATTTATAGTGAAATATTGCCATCTCTTGTAGTGTAAACAAAAATGGATCATTAGAAAAACGCGAGTTTGTTGTGTGGTGCTCATTTTCCCCATGCATACTCAAAGAAGTATTTGTTTAAACTTTAGTTGAAAAGAATAAAATAAATTAAGAAGTTATATCAATCATTAATTATTCATTTCTATTCCTATTTGTAAGAATAACAGCATTTGCATACTAAATAATAGGTATTTTCCCTTTCTATCATCTTTGCTCGAGTTTCTAAGGGTAGATTGGAAAGGTTAGTTGAATCAATCAAATTTCCCACCCTATGCTGATTAAATGTTTCCAAGTATCAACATTTCAAAATCATGGGCATACATGAAAAGCAAAACATGATTGTACCTTCCTCCTAACCAAACCAGAACTGCATCAGTTAAGGACACTGACCCTTTGTTCTTTCTTTACTTGATCATCCTCTAACTGAACCGGAACTCAATTAGTTAAGAACCCTTTGTTCTTTCTTTACTAAGCAATTTAGGAAAGACCCAGCACACATGAGTCTTTAGAAAAAGAGACTCCATTAACTAGTAGGAGACTCAAAGCTAATCCATTAAGTAAATGGTTGGAAACATGCCTTGACAACTGGAGACCTCTGTTGGATGAGACTCAATCCATGAGATGGAGCATCATAAACTGCCATTACAAAAGGATAAAGTAGAAGCCATAAGTTTTCATAGCAAAAGCAACAAAAAAAATTACATCAAAAAGGCCCCAACTAGTCTATGTGATGGATTGGAATAAAGACCACTCAAATAGAAGTCAAAACACTAAAGGAAAAATTTTATATAATGTGTCAATTTTATTCTGTAGAAGTAAGGCATGCCTCAAAAATCAATCAAAAAATGTTGCTCCAATGCTGAAAAACCCTCTAATTGATCATCTCAACCTCAAGATGTATGGATAAAGAGAAAAAAAGAATTTCAAGACCCAAAAATAGAGCATCTTGTAACACACTATCTAGGACGTTCATTTTCAAGATTTTCAAGTGTTTGCAGATTTACTCGATCTGCACAATTTTTGAGTTCTGAATTTCATAATTAGATGTGAAATAGATTTTTAGGTCAACGTTGAAATTCTCAACACCAAGTAATTCTGAGCCTTGTACCACAAAACTAGTCTTTAATTTTTTAGGCATGCCTTAACCGCAAAATTACATCATTCGACAAACCACATCCTTAATTGAATCACAAAACTAGTCTCTAATTTAAATAATTCTGAACCAAATACCACTCTTTCAAATAAGTTCCATAAATTAAGTTGACACTAAAGAATATTACAACATAATAGATGACACATGAGCAAATGAAAAGAAATACAAAGGAAAAAATTTTGAGCTCATCCTTCACTTAATAATTCAACAAAATTCTAAGTGCCAATTGAAGCTTTTAGCCAAGTAAAAATCATCAAAAAAAAAATTTAAAAAAAAAAAAAAAGAAAGAAGAAGAAGATGCTAGCATCATAGATCAGTATATGAATGATCATTAAATTCAGTTACCTTCGAGGGGTATGGCAAGGTCTCCTTCGGGCATCGGACCATAAGCATCATTCCCAACACATGGCAAAACAGAGGGCTCATCAAGAAACCCAACCCTTTTAGCATTTAAAGAAGCGATCAAAAGATCAACAGCTAACTGCCCAATGTTACCAATCGACAATGCAGGCTATAAACAACACAAAACATACAAACAAAAAAGAAACCTTAATCAGCGAACCACAACAGTGCTCATCGCAGTCAATGAAGAAATCAAAGATCAACAGCCAATTGCCCTATGTTACCAAGTGATAGTGCAAGCTATAACCAATATTGTCATATTTGCTTCAGAGTCTTCTTCAGTTTGGTGAGAAAAATGAAGCACAGTGCTTCAGCTAACTCAAAGGAAGATTTCAGATTTTTTTTTAATTAAATATAAATAAATTAGATATTTATACATAAAATATATACAGATAATGGAAAAAATTAAAAATAAAAAAATAAAAAAAATAATTTTATATAGATATTTTTTGCTGCCCAAAGCAGACCCAAAGCATACCCGAAGCAGACACAAATCATACCCGAAGCAGACCCAAATCTGACCGAAGCGACAACACCAGGTTTCGCTTCGCTTCGCTTCGATTTATGCCTAAAATCCGAAGGCTTCGACCAAAGCAAAGTGAATTTGATAACACTGCTATAAACAATTCAAAAAAACACATAGAAGAAATAAAACATAATTAAATAAACCACCATTGTTGCACCGACACTCCACAAGGGGTTTGTCGCATGTTGACACTCAGAAACATGTCAAAATGGATAGAAATGGCCCTTACACGTAACCATACATGTCGCATGATGTCCCAGATTTTCAATACCATATCGACACTTGTTGTAGAAGTCATCATCATCATAATCAGAGCCTTTCCCAACTAATTGGGGTCGGCTGCACAAATATTGATCCGCCATTCTGCTCTATCTTCTCTCACTACTTCTAACCAAGTCCTTTTGGACCTACCCCTTGCTCTTTTGGAGCCTTCCAGTTGAACTAACTCGCGCCTCCTAACAGGTGCAGTACTGGGTTTGCACTGCACATGGCCAGCCCCACCTAAGTCTACTTTCTCTCAGCTTATCGCCTATTGGTGCCACACCTAAATTCCCCGGATGTATTCATTTAGAATTCTATCCCTTCTTGTCTTGCCACTCATCCTTATAGAAGTGTCTTACTATAATAACTTTCACTTTCTTAACACTAAAAGCAAAGTGCTTAAGTGGTAAGAGTCTTGCACGGTGGTGAGGTTATGGGTTTGAAATTTGAACCCCACCCTGTCTAAGTACTCGGTACAATACTTTCGAAGTTATTTACATTTTTTAAAGTTATTTAAATATCAAAAATTTAATGCCCCAAAGGGGTTCAGTCACATAACCTTTTGTTGAAGCGAGGCTGCCTCTACCATAAGGTGCACAAAACTTCTTGTGAATATTGGTGTGACTATAGAAAACATAAAGCTTACATAAATGACCACAATAATGCACCCGAGAGTTTTGAACCTGGACTCTCTCTCTCTCTCCGTCTCTTTCTCTCTCCCTCTCCCTCTCCCTCTCCCTCTCCCTCTCCCTCTCGTTTCAAAAAAATATGTGCTATTGTCTAAACCACTTATTATTTTAAGTTGTAAAAATTTCTATAAATATGAAAAAAGAGTAAAATATTGTAGGGACATGCCAGAAAGTACTGACTTTTTAACCCCCGGTACCAGACACTCTAGGCACGCACAGACACCGATACAAGTGTCAGTATCTATGTAACACTGTAAACCACATATGGTGCTCTTTTGCAGTAAAGAAATCGAAGATCAACAGCTAACTGCCCTATGTTATCAATTGATAATGCAGGCTATAAACAATTCAAAGACATAAACGAAAAAATATCAATAAGCCACAAATGGTGCTCTTCGCATTCAAGGGAGAAATCAAAGATCAACAACTAACTTCCCTGTGTTATAAATTGATAAACAATTCAAAGACATCAACGAAAAAATGTCAATAAGCCACAGATGGTGCTCTTCACATTCAAGGAAGAAATCGAAGAGCAACAACTAACTTCCCTGAGTTATAAATTGATAAACAATTCAAACAAAACACAGCTAACTGCCCTAGTTACCAATTGATGGTGCAAGCCATAAAAAACTCAAACAATATTTTAGTCTTGGACTCGATTCTGGCTCAAGCTGAGTAACTTGGCCGAGTCCAAGTGGACTCAACTCGGACTCGGCCGAGTAACATACAGGGCCGAAAAAGCCATAAAAAATTAAAAAATGCTAAAAAATTAAATAAAACTTTAAAAGTGAAATAAAACTAAAATGAACATAAGGAATCAAAATAAGCTGTAAAAAAAAAAGATGGATTTAGAAATTTTGATTTACAGTTGGGAACATAAGAAAAAACCAAAAAAATGAAAATACAAAAATGGGGCATTTGACTGTAAAAACTCAACAATCATTGTACAACACGTCCAAATTATATATATAATTTTTACACCTTGATCCAAAAAAACTTTATCTAATTGTTATTTTTATTGTTTTAATTATCTGAGTTGTACCCGGGTACTCGGCTCAGCCAGGGGCCGAGTCTGGCCAATTAGTTAAACACTGACTCAAAATGGTCAAAGAAAAAAGAGTCCGAATCAGTAAACCCCATATGGTTCCCACCGAATATATATATATATATATATATCAAGATTAACAACTAAAACTGCCCATGTTACCAATTGCAAGAGCAGGCAACAAGCAATTCAAAACAACACAGAGATAAAAAGAAATAAACTAAAGATAGTTCTCTTTGCATTCAAAGAAGAAATCAACGATCACCAGATAACAGCCCTATGTTACTAATTCAAAGTAATGGCCTACAATCAATTCAAACAGTGAATAACAAAGAAACCCAATCAATAACCATAGATAGTACTAGCTACAAACAGTTCCAAAAGCGATAGAAGAAGAATAAGAAACCCTAACCAAGGAGTTAAAGAATAAGAAACCCTAACCAAGGAGTTATAGTACTGAACAATGTCTTGAAGAACGAGATGAATGAACTATTAATGGAAAATAACAAAGGGGGCAATGAAGAAGAATGAGAGTGCGAGATACAGTGATAATTTATCGGGGACAAACAATTCATGAACCAGAAGAAACCAAAAGCAAAAGAATGGCAAAATGGGGTGAAAATGGGTAAAGAAGGAGATAAAAATACCAGAATGAGAGTGGAAGAAGAGGAGTTGAGTTGCCTCCCTTCTTCTGCAACAAATTCCATGGATGAAATGGAGAAAGTTTCAATCTTTCCTATTTCTCAGATTTATTTAGATGAGTAAAAATGACAGTCATCAATGGGCTGATTTATTGCGCTTGCTTGCTTGCTCGCCTTTTATAAGAGCAGGAAAAGGAAATATTTTTTCTTTTGCCGATACGCCAGAGAGAATGGAAAATTATCAGTGATGACTACGGAGCATACAGTATGATCCATATATTCACGATAACATCATGACCATGAAGTTACTACAGTACCATTCATGTTTGTTCCACTTGTGAACGCCTTACTTTCCTTGTAACCATCCATCCGAGGATGATACACTTGGTCATGCCATTTGTATGGCCACATGGATCAAATGGATTTCTGTATTACTACTACAGGTCATCTGTCTGTCGCTTTCCAACTCCTGCTTGTATAAAGTGCTACCAAATAAAACTTATTTAATTATATTTAGGGGAAAATATTTTTTTTTTCTTTGTTATATATCAGTATAAGTATGGCTAGCAATAAGCGAAGCGGCGAGCCCTTGTCCCCATAGGGTCTAAGCCCAGCCCAGCCCGAGCTAGCTCTGTTAGCCCAGACCAGGTCAAGTATGACGAAATAAAAAAGATAAAAGAAACAAATAAGGAAAATTGGTTCATTCGGACCAAACAGGGCTGGGCCAGCTGAACCGAGGCGGCCATATCGTGGCCCTAACTAGGGCTTGAGCCTGGGCCATAACCCAAGCCCGACCCTGAGTTGTGGTGGCCAATGCTCAAGCCTTAGTTTTGAGGTTCGTTGGTAATGATTCTACTACGGTGCCACATTCACAAACTGATCCTAAGTAATTGTTGTTGTTTATTGGATTCCAAAAGAACTACTTCGTTAGGATTGAGGAATTGCTGCGATTCTTCTTGAATAGCCCCGATTCTCTTGTCGAGAGTCACTTTGAAACCCTTATCTGAACTCTGATTGAATATGATAAAGGCAATAAAATGACGAGATGCACAAGTAGACGAAAGGGGCCCATTTGCCAGCCCAAGACTTCGAAGGAAGGATATATTAGGCTACCCTAAGATAGGAATGGTGTGCTCTACAGACCTTATTTTGTAAAGTAAGAATATGTAAGTACAATTCGTATTAATATAATAAGCACATAGGGACACCTCAATTAGGAAGATGTCGAATGAGTACAACAAAACCCAGTAATAGTGGCTCATCCTTTTGAGCGGCCCAAAATGATTATGATGCAGTTTCCTATTTAGACCATCAATTTTGTGAATACATTAAAGGCGCATGTGCGAGAGAGATCCTCGATACATCTAAACCCAAATGTTGGGTAACCTAGGCCTGAAGCGACTAGCTTAGTATCGTAAAAACACGTAATGAATTTTGCAGGAATGTCACTAGGTGAGGTGCTAGGTAAGTTTCTAGTCTAATTGCCAAAAATGTTAGCTTGGACTCACCCCTTGGGTTGACTATTCGCCTTTCCCCGATGATTCCGCATTCCAATGTGGATAGGATAGGCCCACATTGGATGAGTAACCTTGGAGAGGCTTGGATGGACTTGACCTCAAGGACTTACCCTTCCCCTTCCCCTTCCCCTCATATAAGCCCATTCCTAAAAGTGGGCTTTGTGTTGCCTGTGTCATAAGACTGAGGCCTTCACACCAACATGATGTCCTGACTTAAAAGTGTACAGAAGATCCATAAGTTTTGGTTCGCAGATGCATGCCACTCCCATTCATAAGAGTGGAATGGATTGCATGTGTTCTAGTTCTTGGTTTATGGGGATGTTATATATGTTAAGTTTATTCACCAAGCTTAGGTGTTCAATCCACTAAATTCACTAAGATGAAATTACGAAATGAGGCATATCAAATATTGCCATGGCCACAATTACTTTTGAGATAAGGAGGTTTGTTCAATTTGGTGCTATCCATAATCACTCACATAAGACTTTAAAATTACCCACATAAAAAAATCTCATATTATGTAGGATTGAGATATTCTCGTATCTCCAAAATGACCCACATAAGGAAATCCCATAAAAAAAGCCCTAGTTAGGGGCATGACATGCCCCCCTCTGCAAGGCCCCACACACCTCTTCTTTCTCTTTCTAGAGAAACCAAAAGTTCTCACTCGTACATTCTCTCCCAAAGAAAGCTAGGGAATCTACTCTCTTTTGGAAGTAGTATGAAAGGATACAGGGGTTTATGGACTCATTGATGTTATGGCATTGATAGAGCAAAATGGTGGACTAGAATTCGTTTCGTTAACCCCAAATAGTTAGAAAAAAGACTCTGATAATGATAGATACTCATTTAGGAATTTTGAAGTGAATCTCAAATTTCCATATAAAAAATGGGCCAAGCTTTATATGCTTCCCCTACAGGATAAAACTTTTTTTTTTTACTAAGATTCAACTATTTCATTAAAATACTAAAAGGAAATTACATCATCAAAAACAAAAAGAGAAGGAAGAGAAACACCCCCTTTGGCCAAGGCATCCACAACGCCATTAGCTTCACGATTGACATGGGAAAAAAAAACTGATAGGTTAGCCATTTTATCCAAAATCTATAACCATAAAGACTATGGTACCCTCTGTTCCTTTTTACACCATCTAATGACATTGAACGAATCCCCTTCTATTAGCCAAAAAGAGCCTAGGTTCTTACCAATAAAATTTTGATACCCCTTAAAAGAGTCGTGAGTTCCGCACAATTTGTTGTAGCAACACCAATAGGCGGGGTATACCACAAACTTCCAATAGGCAGGGCATACCACAAACATTTGGGCCTAGAAGGTTTAGACCCCAGAGAGAAAAGGTTAGTCAGGTTGACCATGACATCAACCTTAGTTATACCCCACCCGCCCTTATCCACCGAAAGAGATGACCAGCTAGAAAGCTTAATAAGATGGATAAGCCTTTCCACGGATAATGCCACTCCTTCAAAAGTCCTTTTGTTTCCCTCCTTCCACATTTCCTATAAAATCATTCCTTTTGCAATCTTCCAAAGTGTGCTACCAACCTTAGGCAAAGAGGGAATACTAAATTGTGAAACAATCCCACCCACTTTCTGGGGCAGCGTTAAAGAGAAACCAGCTAAACCAATTAACCAAAGCCATACCTTCACCGTATATGGGTAGTGGATCAACAGGTGGTCAACGAACTCACCATCCAATTTGCAGAGGAAGCAGATATTGGGAAGATTTTTCCCCCGTTTTTGCAAATTATCAATTGTTAAGATTTTATCTTGCGCAGCAAACCAAATGAAGACTTGAGTTTTATGCGGTATAGGGCACTTCCAAATTTGCACAATACTGAGGGACGACCATCTCTACCGGTCGTGAAAGAGGAGATTATAGCAAGATTTGACATAAAATAAACCATTCCTTTCAATTTCCCATATCAAAATATCGTCTGTCCCTTGAGCAATATAGAATTTATCCAAGAGTTCCATCAAAACGCATCATTGGGAAAGCATGACATTATTTAACCTTCTATACAAAAGGGAGAAATCCCATACAAACTATTGGCCTCTTTTCTCAACTACTTGACTAACTTTATGATAAGGAGAGGCAACAACCCTATAAAGATCAAGGAAAATAGACTTCAATGGATACTCCCCAAGCTATTTATGATGCTAAAACATGATTTGATTGCCATCCCCCATATTCCATCTGAAGTAACCCAAGATCATGGATCTACAATTGAAAATAGCCCGCTACATATAAGACACCTCCTTCCCTCTACCATCCCCAATCCACAAATTATGCCTATCCATCCCATATTTAGACCATAAAACTTGATACCAAAGATGATTTTTCAGGTATAAGCTTCGACACCATCATTTGCAAAGCAAAGCCTGATTAAACTTTGAAACTTTTCGTATACTCAATCCACCTTCACACTTGGGTGTGCAGACTCTATCCCACCTTAAAAGATGGAACTTCCTTCTCTCCCCACTTGATCCCCAAATGAAGTCTCTCGTCATCCTCTCAATTCTCTTTGCAATCGAAGCTGACAAGTGAATAAGGGACATTTGGTATATTAGCAAGTTAGCAAGGCAAGACCTAAGCAAAGTAACCCTTCCCCCAGAGACAGGTACTTGTGTTTCCAAAGGTCGAGCTTGACTTGAATTCTCTCAAGTACCCCATCCCATGCTAAAATGGGGAATTTTGAGTATGAAATTGGAAGTCCCAGATAAGTGATAGGGAAAGAATCCATTCTACATCCCATCACCTTGGCCAGTTCGCTGGCGGTAGACTCACTACAGTTAACCCCCACCGTAGAGGACTTATGAAAGTTCTTAAGCCCTAAAGTCACTTCACAAATCTCTAAAAATGTCGTAACATTCTTAACATGTGAAGTTTCAGCATCAATAAAGATTAAAGTATCATCCGCATACTGAAGATGAGAGACGCAAATATCAGAGTTTGCGATTTGAAAGCCCTTAAAAGCCCCTGTGCTCTCCACCTTACTCAACATAAGACTAAAACATTTAACATAGATCAAAAATAAGAAGGGGGATAGGGGATTTCCTTGTCGTAGTCCTCTAATGGCATTGAAATAGCCTATCGGGCTACATTGGAAAATAATAGAGAAGTGCGCTGAGGATAAGCAGTCATAGATCCAACTTCTCCACCGAAAGCCAAAATCCATACATTTTAAGATCTCTAAAAGTACTTCCCATTCCACCCTATCATGGGCCTTCTCCATATCCAGCTTTAAAAGTAAGCTTACTTTTTTACTCAGAACTCTAGAATGAATACATTCTTGCGCCACCAATACACAATCAGTAATATGGCGGTCCTACATAAAGGCTGACTGTGTTGTTGAAATGATAAAGGGAAGAACCACCTTAAGACGTTGAACAAGAACCTTTGCAATAATCTTGTAGACACTTGTAAGCAAGCTAATAGGCCTAATATCTGAGAGCTCATTTATCACTGATTTCTTTAGTATCAAAGCGATGAAGATGGAATTGATACCCTTAAAGATACGACCAATGATCATAAACTCTCTCACCACCGCCAAAAGGTCATCTTTGACTAGGGTCCAGAATTTTTGAAATAAAACTAAGGGAAAACCAATTGGGCCCAGTGCCTTATCACCAGGCAACTCAAAAACAGCACGATGTACTTCTTGTATAGAGATGTCTCTCTCAAGAGAGCACCTCATCTCTTCATTCTGCATCCTAAAATGGACATTTGAAAAGCTTGGAGTTATCACCACCTCTTTAGAAAAGGCTTTCTTGAAATGGTTGATAACACTCTCGGCCATTGCATTAGAATCCTCATGATCTAAACCAAGAATGGTCAGACCTGAAATATCATTCTGCCTCCTTCTCTACACTATTTTATTTTTAGTTTTTTTTTTTATAAACTATTTTGACACCAATTTTTGGGCGTCCAATCCTTTATTAAACTAGCACTAGCAAAAAATATTAAAAAAATATTTCCAATAAAATAAAATGACCAAAATACCCTTGAAAGATTCAAGGGGCATTTTGGTCATTATATTTTATCGAAAAATTATTTTTAATATTTTTTATAGGTGCACCCCAATGAGAAGATGACACGTACCAAATTTTATATTCATTCATTTTGTGTAAAAAACTAAAAATAAAATACTTTGAGATGTCGGATCTAAGATCAAACGGTGGGTGACTCTCTTGATCAAAATTGAATGGCTGGATGGTAGGGAAAGCATAGATCTTCTATGCTGTGAGGAAAGTATGGAAACCTTTCCCTAAAAAATGGGTATCCCCAAGGGGAAAAAAAAAACCTCAACACCGTAACACTTGATCCGATTGGACCATCCAAAAAATGGACAGTTTGTGCATCGTAGGGCGTGATGCTTCCTTTCCCATAAGGTTTTAGAGTATGAATTGATCGCTAGGTTGAGTAAGTCAAATGTGCAAGTTTGTGCAAGGGATCTAATGTGCTTTTAACTACCATAGAAGCATACAATTCTTTTTACAAGTTTTCTATTTCTCAAAAGATGAGTGAAAGGCAAAATATGGAGTACGAAGGGTGTACAAGCAACATTGAATAGGCCAAATTAGAAAGGCAAAAACTCAGACGTCCACAATTTTATGTACTCTTTTAATTTTAACTTTTTCTACTAATTGGATTGAGACAAATTTTTAATATTTTTTGCCTCACTTAAGCACACCTAAACAAATATAAAAATAATTAATAAAAACCAATTTAACTAAAATACCCTAAATAGTTCATGGGAATTTGGGCAATTTTTTATTTTCTTTTTATTTTGTACAATGTTTTTTTATATATATTTTTAAGGCGCGCATGGTTGAGGTTGTGGATGTCCAAAATTTTAAATTAATCAAAATTATTAAAATAAAAATAAAAGTTGAAAATAATCCCGAACATAAATTTATTTTTCTGTTTAAGAAAAATAGCCCATCATTTGCTCAATAAATTAAAAAAAGCCAATCTAGATCTAGAATTGCTAGGTACTGACCTTGTTCCTTAATGAAACCAAAGATTGGTCTATTTCATGGGACTTGTCCTCGACAAGTCTGTTAGGGATCCATGAGGTTTGAATTGGCAACCCGATTCCCACTTAATTTATTTTTTATTATTTTTAAATTTAAAATCTTCTTTGAGATCGAATCTAACATTAAAGAACTGGTCTGATCTGACCTGGATCTAGTTTATGACCAACCCGACTATCCAATATGCATTTTGAAAACTCTGCTATTGCCCTATTGGTAACCCTAGAAGGTACAGGCGGTTGATAAATGATCACAACAGCCTAAAGAATTCAAGTAAGGCACACCTCCAAAGTTCGTTGAAAGATGTACATTGGGCGTAGCACCTAAAAATCTATTTTATATCTTATTAGGAAATTGAAAATTCAACAAATAGGCTAGATTGGGCAGATCTACAAGCAAATTAAAATATCGAGAATGGACAGTCCAGATAATAATTAGGAGATGTACCTTTGGGACTTTAAAATCTTATTTTTTTAACATCCGTTCAACTCGAGGTCGAGATGATCAATTAGAGGGCTCTTAGACATTAGGATAACATATTTCGATGGATTTATTAGGCGTGGCGTTTTCTTACAGTATAAGGTTGCAACCTTGTATGAACTTTTTTCTTATGTGGATTGGAAATAATTTATATAAGAGTGATACCTTAAATTGAAGAATTAAGGTGCACCTAAAAAATACATTGAGAAATATTGTTTTGATGTTGGAAACCAATTTAATTATCTCAAGGTTTGAAATGTATAGATATGGAAATAATACATTTTACAACATATTATTTGGATTGTCTATTTTCAAGATTTTTATATATTTATCGATCTGTTTGATTTCAATTGCTTTTGAAGTTTAAAATTTTAAAATTAAAGATATGACACATTCTCGAGCCATCCTAAAAATTTTCAAAGTTGAAATTACAATCTTATGACAAAGTTTGAGGATGCGCCTTACTTTGATTGGTCCAAGTTACAATTCTATGCAAAACACACCCAACATACATGTGGTCCAATTTTGAAAATCCACATATCAGCTAAAATTTATTGAAATTTCAGCTAGTAATCTATTTCATCAATGTACCATCATCATCGTCGTCTAAGCATTCTTTCAACTCAATGAGATCGGCTATACAAATCCTGGTCTGCCATTTTACTTTATTAAGGGTCTTGCCCTTAGTGATGCTATAAAGTCCCATATTTTTTCTTACTACTTCTAACCAGCTTTTCTTACTACTTCTAACCATCCCTGACCCTTTTGAGCTTTATACTTGAACTAACACGTACTTCCTAACATGTGTTGCATTGAGAGTGCATCATGACCAACCCACCTAAATGTACTATCTGTCATCTTATTACCTATTGGTGCCACTATTAAATTTTTTCGAATGTATTTATTTTAAAATTTATCTCGTCTTATCTTACCATTCATCCATTTTTTCTTTTTTTTTACCTATGCTACACTTATTCTATGGATATATTCTTTTGACCGCCCTCCATACCATCCCATCCCATAGACTAAAATTGGTCTTGTATTATTTCACTTACGTACCATGCTTACCATAATAAACATCCCTCTTTATCCCTTTCTTTCTCTCTCCTCTTTTTTCTGAGCACTCCTCCTCTCTCCTCTCGTCGTTTTCCCTCTCTTGGACATTTCTTCGAGAACATATTCCTGCAAATACATCGTTAAGAGTTTAAATATAGACGAACATTTATGTAACCGCCAAATACCCTTATTACCCGAAGACACCGCCATCACCCTCAAGCCCCTCTCTCTCTTCTCTCCCCCTTATTCGCGTTAACTCTTTCCCTATTCGAGCACCTAAAGCCCATCCTTTCTCTCTCTCTAACTTCTTTGAGCTCTAGAAGCCGTTGCAGAGGGAAGCTGCCATAACTCTAGAACAGGTACTCTCTCTATTTCAAAACATTTGCTAGAGCTCATTTTATGGGTTTGGCGAACTCCCAACAACAGTTTTTTTCCTCTCCGAAATCTATATGCCCAGAAGCGACTGATATAAAAGAAAAAGAAATTGATGTCAAAAAACAGTAACTGGTTCAAATTTAAGGTCTTGTGCTTTTGCTCTCAACTATGTGAGCTTTAGGGTTCCTTTCCTATAGCGCCTTTTGTTCTACAGGGTAGGGTTCCTGCTACCCGAATTTGGCCATCATTCGGTTTTCTGTTTGTTTGTATCAGGTGTTTTGGATTTGTTCATATGATGTTGCGGTTACCATTTGAGTTCCTCTTTTAGGGTTCCGACAATTTCCAAATAAAAAGTAACATGGATTCATCAATGATATTGTTAATATGTTATATTTTGATTTTCCTAATGGCGGTCATAAAAAGTTCTCCTTTTTTTGGGCTTCCTCCTCAATTCTGTTATAGGTTGGGCTTTTTCTCTGTTGGATGTTGTTTTATTGGATATTGTGTTGGATTTTGAGTGAAGATTATTAATGGGAAGCATCACTTTTATCTCAATGGATTTTGCTGGTTCATACTTATCTGTCCTAAATTATGATGGGTTTTCTGAGGATTCTTGATATTTGGATTTTATGGGGACAATTGTGTTGGTGGTTGAATGATGATTTTATATGTAAACTGGGTTTTCTTTCTAGAGAGAGAGAGCATTCTTATTTGGAAAAAGTTTATATAAGGATGCTACCTTATAATGTAGAACAACGGATGCCCCTAAAAATCCATCGGAAAAGGTGTTATTAATGTTGAAAAACCCTTTGATTGATCATCTCGACATCGAGATGTATGACTATAAAAAATAAAAAGATTTTAAGTTTCAGAAACAGTGCATTTTACAACATATTGTCTACACCGTCCATTTTCAAGATTTTCATATGTTTATAGATCTACTTGATTTTAACCATTTTTGAAATTTAAAATTTTATAATTAGATATAAAAATAGATTTTGAGATAATCCTAAGAACATTTTACATCAAAACTATATACCACAATAAAATTTGAAGGTGCACCTTACCTCTACACCTACGAATGCATCCGTATGCAAACTGCACCCTTCTTATTTAGGGTTATTTTTTTGTGATATGGAGGAAAATAAGCTCAAAGAAAGCATTTTTGGAGAAATGACTCAAATTGTTGCAGCTTCCTGTTGTCGCAGCCAGTCTGCGAATGTTTGTATATTGATTTGTTATTGTGTTACGTAACATGTCATCTCTTTCTAATTTTTGGTAATCATATTTTCTTTATGTGCCTCATCAGAGGGACGTTTGTGCATAAATTCTTGTCTGAAATATGTTTTGCATTCGTAAGTCTGTCTGTTCATTCATCATATGTAGTTTTTCATCTTTAGGGTTGCTTGTGATCTCTCTCTCTGTCTCTAGATTTTCTTGTGGGCTTCTTTCCTCTAGTATTTATTGTGAAAGTATGGGTCTTAGTTCCCTCATATGAGCTGAATTTTCATTAAAAAAACATTACCAACACATGGAAAATGACTAAATGGGGAAAATAGTACTATTCAAATACAAAATAATATGGGCAATGAAGGTGGGTGATCATAAAACCATTTAAATGACCACATTTGCATGATGTAACCATTTAAATGACCACATTTGCATGATGTATTAATTAACTAGCTTAAGGCTTCTAAAACTTTTGGAAAGCTATGGTGAAAGAAATCAGTTTATCTGTCTCTACAACTAGGGAAGTATCCACTTGGTACACCACCCTAAGATTGGCACAACAGGAAAAAATTGTGGAATATAAACCATAATCCAAGAAGCATGTTACATAGAAAAATGACTTTGGAGGCCATAATTCTAATTAAAAAAATGGGAAAATATCTTCATACCCCCTATTTTTAAGTTTCATTTCACAATAGGCCCAAGGTTTTAAAGATATCTTGGCGCATAAAAATTGTAGATTTTATTTCTTCTAACCCCTTGAGCTAATTTAAACATGGTTTTTTAGGCCAAACAAATCTAAAAAGACATGTTTTTTTTAAAAGTCCATCATCCCAAACTTCTAGAGAGAGAGAAGGGCTTCATGGAGGCGTGAGGTTATCCGGAGGAAACAGAGAGAGGTGTTTGGAGAAACACGGGAGGATAGAGAGACTCAAGAAGAGAGAGAAAGAGAGAAGTTTGAGATATATAAGTGCAGAGAGATAAAGGATTCGGTTTAGAAAGAGTATGTATTTCTTACATTTATTTAGGTTAAAAAATAGGTTTAAAGTGGCCCGGGGGTTAGAAGACATCTTTTGAAACCTGGGGTTTATCAAGAAATGAAACTTAAAAATAGGGGATATGGAGATATTTTCCCTAAAAAAGTCAGATCTTCTTGTCACCTTGCATCAAGTTACCTTGTGGTTGATTGCTCAAATTGCAAGAAACTCATAGCAGCATAGGTTGAGTTACTTGAGATAGTCTCAACTGTGGACTGTTGGGCTCTGGCATCGTCGTTTGGGCATCAGGGGTCATGCACACATGCAAGGTATGATAACCAACTAACCAACAATTAGGAAAGAGTTTTAGTTCCATGGTTGGCACTTGGCACTTGGCACATGACTACCATTATAAAACCTTTCCATACAGAGAGTAGTCAGCCAAAGATTGGAAAGATAATCACTTGTTCGATCCCATAACATTACGGCTGACAGTCAATCAGGATCCCAGCGTTTGATTGTTCCATCCCATAACCAGCGTTTGACTGTCAAACCAGCGTTTGTAGTGAATACTCTGCAAAATGGAAAACTCTTTCTTTGAGAAGCAAGGGAAACCCAAGTTTGAGAAATTGAAGGCTCCCTAAAAGAGTTGGCTGTAGGAAATCTTAAATCACTATTATGATATTATCCTTTGGAAGGTCCCTTGGGATGAGCATACTGGAAATGGATATCTTAATCTCATGCAAGTAAATGGTTCAGAATTTTCCCAAAGTTCTGAAACTGGGATTTGCCTCGAGTATTTGCATGTGTAAATGTTTGGGGTTAAGTCGATAGGACTCTTATAGAGGACACTGGGGGGTTCACAGGGTGAATGGATGGTTTTGGGGGGTGTGGTTTGGTAAGATAGTTGAATCTTTGAAAATCAGCTCGTGCCCATGCTAAGTTGAATCAGGTGAGTCCATGTCTTATTGTGAGAACGGAGACATTAAAAGATTCATCTTGTTAACAATAAGATCCTTAACTAGGAAGTTCTTCATGGGCTGAGAATCTAGTTTGCCTGTATATGGGTTTGGGCTTTGGCATGTGCATAGTTGAGCAGCCTATCTTAATTGGTTGGGAAATTCCATGATTTTTTCGAGTTTCATCAAAACTTTATTGACTTTGATGTTGATGACTGTATAGTCTGTTCTATGCATTTTGCATTTTGATTAGGTATTCTTGGAGAAAACTATACGGTTTTAAATGGGACAACGATGTCACTAAAGAGTAGGTCTCTAAACAAAATCCAGATATTTGCTTCAGTTGTTATCCTGTGACTAGATTCAAGGCATACATGGTTACATAAAGATCAGTTGGAGGTAACGTTGGAAAAAAAAAGAGGGATTGGTTGGTTTTATTTCTTCCATAATTCTAAATGGGATAATATGAAATAAAAAAAGAGAAAAAGGTAGCACTGATAAAGTAGTTCAAAGTTTTCAAACCATAGTTACTGGGAGCTACAATGGGAACGGCGCTGGGATCGGGAACGGAATTGTCAGATCGACATGGGCCAAAAGTTTCAGTAGTCTAGGAACGAGATTTGTACAATGTATCTAGCTTGGAACTAGATTCCATATATAAATGAACTCACTCCCAGTGCTCATGGGATTGGATCCCATTTCGCAAGAGCTGCCTTTCCCACTTCCCATGGGATCTCGATACCAAATACACAAGTACAACGATCCGTATAAATTGGGTTCCTTGATCCCTAAATATAAAGGATTCCAATCCCAATGCTCAAGAAACTGGATCCCATTGCGCAACAGACGGGGTTCCCTCTTCCCATTAAATGTTTTAATTATTTTAATTCTTGATATGGTTTATACATTATACAACTCTAATAGCAATCTAAGTAATTTAAATTTTTGATGTTTGGGATCAATACACAATAAGGATGGAGATCACATATGTAGGGATCGATATCCCAATAGATATGGAGATTCACAAATATAGGATCAAGATCCTTAAATCGGGGGATCGAGATCCCAACATGGTAGGCATCAAGATCCACAAATAGAGGGATCGAGTACCATGATTTGGGGGGATCCAGGTCCCTACGAATAAGGAATCGAGATTCTGATAAAAAGGAGCGAGCTCCCTCAAAAAAAAGGGCTTCGGTTGAAATCCTTGCTTTGGATGGTAGGATCTAGATTCTAGAACCGGAACGATGCACTTTAGGGGTGCTCTTGGTAACTAAGGTTCAAACATCAAACTGTTGCTCCTGAATCAAGGTCAAATCATACTTACTATGATTGGGAGCGAGGTTAGATCCCGAATTGAGATTGGGAACCGTGGGATGAGAGATGCATAAAGATCCATGGGATAGGGATCAAAATCCGTACACTATGAGTTAAATGGATTGGGATCCCAATATGAAAGGAGTAGGGTTCAAATTTGTCCAGGATCAAATGATAAAGAATATGGGGTCGAGGTCCGTCCAGCTTAGAATCGATGCTCCCCAAGAGCACTTAACTAGGATACTTTAGCTCGAGAACGAAGTCCATTGAATGCTATGATTAATGCTTTTTTTTTTTTAATTCAAAAACCATAGTATCATTAAATACAAAGAGACCTGTTTTAAAATGGGATTGTATACTACGAGACCATTTACTTTTGATATAAGGAGGTCACAATCACTTTTAGGCATTTGATATGAAATTCAATAGATGAAAGTGTGTCACAACATTCAAGAGATTTTATTTTGGACTTTGTGCCCAAACGATGATACATCCTCAACCACCCGATTTTAAATCTAATGGTTAATAATGATTGTGACCTCCTTATATAAAAAGTAATTAGTCTCATTGTATACATTTCTTTTTAAAGTAGTCTTTAATTTTTTTTGTTATCATTTGAGTGTGTTTCATAAGCAAGATGAAACTGAAAACCCAAAATGAGAATTCAAATTTCAGGCCTTGGGCATGAAGAAGCTCTAGTGTTTGATGAAAATGCTGGTGATCTATAGTTCTATTCACAACACCTTAAATATGCTGGTAATCCACTCTCCCATTGTAAATGAATCTTGAAATGTGCTGGTGATCTTTGGTACCAATGTAAAAGAAACTTAATTCCATATTGGTGGGGGCTCAATACTTAACTTGGATCCCATTAACTCGGGATTTAGATTCCCAATTTTGCAGGTCGCAATTCTGAAATTCAAAAAAACGTTTGGAATTGAGATTCCTTGTCTTGGAATGCAGGATTGAGCTTTTAGAGCTCGAGCAACAACCTTCTTGGGCTGGACAATACTGGTAACTTTAGTTCTATAGTTGTAATATCAACGATATGTCCCAGAAATACTTTGGTTTCTAAGCGTACATGTTCATACAAAATTTAAAACCAAATGAAATGGTTTTCTCAAATTCAACCCGAAGACCCCACTATAGAATCCCAACTAGGTAAATGACTCCACTTTAGGGCTGATGAAACATAATATACAAGTGATTGATTCGTTATAAACTTTGATTATCGAGCTGAATTAGAGAGGAACCTAGAATGTGATTTCTCTGAAATTCGAGGGTCTCCTAGAAACATAAATAGTGATGCATATTTGACATGAAATGGAGTACCAAGATGAGATTTTAAACGCAAGAAGAGAGTAACAAAGAGGGGTTGAGTGCAGATAGATGAGAATGAGGTCCACCGTTCGCAGGCTTTAGAAATGTAGAAGGCACAGAAAATGACAAAATTCTAATATGAAATACAACTATGATGTTTTGTTAACTTTAGTCAAACCACATGAGCTATTTATTGGGTCCGATATATTGGTGTTCCCCGTGGTGTATTTGATTACCATGCTAAATCTTTTTGAGAGCTGGTATTGGAAATAGTTGCAGCTCATTTCTCTTTTTTCCACATCATACACACAGATGACTAGTAAGTATTACTATGTTAAATTTTCTCATTTAGGTGGCTCTTTAAGAGAAAAATATTTTCTTGCTGATCTCATCTGTATTCTAGGCACTGGAATGTGTTATATGTAGTTCACAGAGTTGATGAATTTGCTTTGGGAATAAGTAACACGGCACACATTTCTATGGTTCTTGTAACAATATGACATGCCAAGGCCATGACATGAGTGTCATACACTTAGGCACTTTCCTGTTACTTTTCTCTTGACAAGATATAATTGTCAAAGTATGTGCTATCACCTAAATCTGTACTTATGCCCTTTAAAATGGAATATGAATGTGCTGTTACTGTATGGCCAATTTTAGGGTTAGCATTTATGATGTGCATATTTATGTTGGATGCTGACTGATGTATAAGTGTCTTTCTAACATGGTTTGGAGGACTCTAGAAGTGGTGATGTAATATACTCATTGCTCTATTGCTTACCATTAGGATTACTCTCCCACTCCATATACTATGGACTTTTGGATGCATTTATTGCCTTTATCAGTTGTCTCGTATGCAATTATTAAATAACTCATGATGTATGCAGTTTCCTGAATCATTACACGTTATAAAATATTTATGCTATATTTCTACATGTGAGTTTTGGAGGGCACTTGTCTGACATGTACTTGTATCCTTCTTTCCAATCTCTAATGACATATTCTTTGGCACTTCTAAATATCTATCCATATTGCTTACAGAGGACGAGTATACATGCAAATTTGCTACAAACTGGAGAAATGGCTGGTGACAATAGCTTAAAACAAGAAGAAATTGAAAACAGTGACGATGATGATGAATTTCCTCTAGTTTTTAAGAGGTATAGTACACCAGCTAAACCAAAACAATCTGTTGCTGTACCAAAGAAGTCATCTCAAGGGAACAGTGAGCCTTTGGGAAGGCCTAGTTCTGTTGATCGCGGTGCTCCAAAGAATATATCACTGGTGAAACCTTCACATCCGAACGTGCAAAGGGATAACACCTTACCATCTTTGAAGTCAGCCCTATTTAGCTCAGCTATTTCGACTGCAAAATCAGGCGAATCAAGGGATATGAACCCAGGTATTAATGACAAGGATAGCCAACCCCTGCAAAGGCCATCTTCTGAACCAAATATGAAGTCTGAAGACTCTGATGATGATAAGCCGTTGAACTCTAGAGTTGCTGCAGTTGCTAATACAGTTAAAAACAAATCTCCAGGGCCTAATTTGCCCCTTTCTTGCTCAGCCATGCCTGTAAAAACGATCGTAAAGTCTCCAGTGAATGTTGTTAAGAGATCTCCTGATGATTCAGATGATGAAAAGCCTCTATCACAGAAGTTTCCGCGGAAGTCCTCCAATGGTGCAGTTGCTGGTACTTCTATTAAACCCACATATGATGACTCAGATGAAGAGAAGCCTTTGGCTTCAAACTTTCAGCGAAATGGTTCAAGCAAAAAGAATTTAAATGGGGAGCTTCCCTTGAAGGTTAATCAAATTCTGAAAAAGAGGCCTGCAGAGGAATCCAAAGTGCTGGCAAAGAAACCAAAGCCTTCAGCTGATCCTTCATCTTCTTCTAGAGTCAAAGTAGAAGTGACTGTGAAAGCAGAGAAGAGTGAAAGGGGAGATGATGAAGATGATCTTTCAATTTCTCAGCGGATGAAGAAATTTTCTTCTGTTAGTGGGCAGGCTTCAGCTAAAAAGATTAAAACCAAGGTTGTTTCTTCTTCATTCAAGAAAACCGGAAAGAATTCAAAGAAAGAAATGAAAAAAATCAAGGGCTCTAAGTCAGCAAAGGGGCCTCCTGGTTCTGGTGACGGGCAGAAGTGGTCCACCTTGGAGCACAATGGGGTTATCTTTCCATCTCCTTATAAGCCTCATGGTGTTAAGATGCTCTACAATGGGCAGCCAGTTGATCTTACCCCTGAAAAAGAGGAGGTAAGATATTTTCTTACTTCATTTTTGGGATTGCTGCCTTTTCATTCAATTGATTCCTCTATATTCTTCAGTCTGCATGCCCTGAACTTATTTGCTAGATCTAGTGATATTGAGGCCAGACCAGGAACTGGGGGTCCCAGTTCGATACTTGGATTAATTGGTTTAACTGGTCTAGACTGAGACAGCCGTTCTTTCTAAAGTGTCCCAAAAAAATGATATGTTATTCCGGGGTGACTTTGTACCTATTTTGGTTGGGTTTCATTGGCCCTTTCACCCCTTCATGGGGGTGTTTTGGTCCGGACCAATATTCCAGTTGGTTTTGGGGCTTAAAAGGCTTATTTTTGGTGAGAGAAGCAGGTTTGGTTGTTTGCTTGGCATGCTCTCTCAAGTTTATTGCACTTAGTTTTTGTTTTGTTCAATCTAGATTTTAGAAAAGTTAAAAACACAATGCTTTTGTTTTTTGGGGCCTTGGAAAAAGAAGGAAGGTTTTCTAAAACCATTGTAATGGATTATTGTTAAGGATGTAATAGTGGGTTTGTGCCATTATTTTGGTTTATTGGGTTGAAATGATTTTGGGTGGATTTTGTTTAGTTTTGGACATGGGAAATTGGTATTTTTTGTTTTTTTTTTGTTTTCCATCCATTTGTTTATAAAATTTTTGGTTTTTTCAACAAGACTATGTAAGATATAGTGGGTTTATTGTAGTAGTTATGTTTTTTTTTGGATACAATTTAGAGATTTTGGGTGGATTTTGAAATTTTGTGCTTAATTTGATACGAGTAATTCCATTTTTGTTTTTCGTTCCTTTTTTTTTTTCTTTTCTTTGGGGTTCTTCTGTGGAAAAATGGATGTTATATTGGGTTTATTTTAATGTTTATTTGGGGATTTTTGATTAAATATTGTTCTTGGGTGGATATGGTCTTTTGGAGAGCAAATGAAGGTTTTTTTTTTGTAGTTTTTTCCCAAAATGTTTGATTTATTTTTTTGGTCTTTCTGTTAGTTCATTTTATTTTACTTATTTTATTTTTAAAAATAAATTTGATCAGTCTGATCAGTCTGATCAGTGAATTTGTTTAGTTCAACTGTTCCCCACTGAACTGGTGCCTCCATCGGTTCAATGGCTTGCTCGGTTCTGATATCACTGGTTGGATCATAGTTTTGGTTGGTTTGGTGCATTATGCTGAAACCATAGGGTGGAATAACATTGAAATTTGTGATGCAATTCTCATTCAAGAAAATCATGTATATTAAGCTGCTTGTTAATGCCAAGAAGAAATAAATCTTGTAACTCATATTGAGAATTTACGCAATTGATTTTTTGCAATTATTGGAATCCCCATAAATGTTAGGAAATCATGCCAATACATATTACTTTAAAACTAAAGCAATGTTCTGATAGATTTCAGTCATGACAAAAGATAAATAAAAAGAAAAAAGAAAGTAAATGTGATTAGCCTAACAAATGCATGAAAAGACTCATTGATATTTATTTGACTGTTGTATATATTTCCTGGGTTATAAAGACTACATGGGATTGGAATAGCTGGTTAACCAGGACCGTTGGGACTGGAATGTTCTGACCCATTTTTAGTCCTGAAAATCACATCAGTGAAGGAAGCTAGATTTATGTAATCCTTCTTGTCCCGTTCGGTACCTACTTCCTTGAAATAACTGGTGGAAATATTTTCCATAATAATCTTGTCATATGTTTTTTATTGGAAGCGGTACTAATGTTATGGACTGATAATTTCTACTTGTAGGGATTATGTCTAAAAAATGCAATATTTTTATCACTGGTTGAGTTGTTTCTTATTCTGTGCTGTTAGAAACTTGAAATGAATGGAATGCCATTTTGGAGTGCATAATAGGAAATTTTAGCAAACTATGGATTAGTGTTTGTTATTTCTTTGACAAACCATGGACTTTCCTTTAAGCTGCTCTGGACAGAATGTCAATTGTTTCGGAGAATGGCTTGCAAGGATAAGATTACGGTTACCGGTAGTATGTGTGAGTTATACATGCATGAATTATTTGTTTGGTATGAATATCGCATTTGGGTGTTCTTATTCTTGAAACCTAAGATGCTAATATACTGTTTCTGAATCATTTTGCTTGCAGGTTGCTACCATGTTTGCAGTGATGAAAGACACGGAGTATGAGACAAAGCCGAAGTTCATTGATAACTTCATGAATGATTGGAGAGTTATACTTGGGAAGAACCACGTTATAAAGAAGTTTGAGCTATGTGATTTCACCCCAATCTATGAGTGGCATCTCAAAGAGAAAGAGAAGAAGAAACAAATGAGTGCAGAAGTGAGTTAGGCTTCCTTTTTCTACTTATGGTATTTAAGGATATATATATAACATGTTCAAATCAATGGCTTAGAATTTTTCTTCTGTGAAATATGTACCTCATTTTATTATTTATTTTGAGCTGAGTTCTGGACAGAATTTTAATAACCGCTTGCTATTCACTCATCAAAAAATGTTTTTTTTTTTTGATAAGATTACATAGGAATGGAACTTGAGACATTGTGCTATAAAAACCCAGCCTCCACCGTCTTGACCAAAGCCTGATTCCTTAGAAAAATAAACGTTGTTAATTTTTCTATTACTTTAGTTAATAAGGAGATAATAAGGAAAATCTCTATTACTTCGACTCACCGAAAAGGAAAAGCCTCTTACATTGTTGATCATGTCTTTCAATTGTTTTGTAGGCTTTTGTAGCTGCAGGATTTCTCCTTCATTAAAATGCTTTTAAATGTTTATTTTCTTGTAGCATTTGAATGTGCAAAAGTTTTGCTTTACGCTAGTTTGTATTGTCACCCACAAATGGTGCTTTGTTACTTGGTACTTGCTATTGTTTCCTCAGTCTGTTTTGAGCTATTATTCTATGGTATATGTCTTTCTACTGGTTCACAAGTTGTCCCATACTTGGATTGTAACAGAATAGAAGCACAGCAGGACACTTGTTTCCTGCTGATACATTGTATGCATTGTACTGGAGCGTATGATTTAAGCAATTGTAAATAATTTTTTTCCCTTCAAATTGCTATTTCTTTGTATACTTTGGAATATTATAATGCTCCCATTCTATTGTTAAGCTTACTGAGCCATGATTATGTGCAGGAGAAAAAGGCTTTAAAAGAGGAAAAAGCCAAATTAGAGGAGAAGTACATGTGGGCTATTGTTGATGGAGTTAAAGAGAAGGTCAGTAATATGAGTTTTGAATTCTTGATATGCCTTATATATTTGGAAAATGGAAAGTCTTCCATACTACATCATCATCATCATTATAGCCTTTTCCCAATTACTTGGGATCGGCTACACGAATCCTTGTCCGCTTGCTCTATTAAAGGTCATACGTTCAGTGAGGTCATAAGTCCCTATATCTTTTCGGACTACTTCCACCCACGTCCTTTTGGGCTTACCCTTTCCTTACTACATACATATCAAATTTGTAATCTTTTTGGCTCTTACTGATCCAATAATATGGAGGTTTGTTGTTGGTGTTCTATTAGATGTGGTCTCTGAGGTATCTGGTTTCTAATGCTTTTGATTTGCAGTAATAAGCTGGATTCTGATGATTGATTATATATGTGGATCAAAATGTCTCTACACAGATGTACACACATACACATAGATACATAACATATACATACATGTATACATGCATGCGTGTGTGTGTTTTAATTGCTAATGACCTCTCATACATGCAGAAGATGGAATTATATTAAATGATGATGGTATTATGAGGCACACATGTCTATTTCCTAGCATGGTTGCTAGGTTGTATTTATGCACAATAGTTGTGAATTATGTTTTGCGTTTTATAATTCAAACAAGGATTTGTCCTATATTATGGGATAAGAGCAAATAAATGATAAACCTGAGGATGCGTACAGCTAAGCGTGCTAAACTTTGGAAGCCATGGAAGTCGAGAAATAGAACTGCCAATCTTGGTCCACTTAATCTAGACAGGAACTATGGGAACAAGAGATTAAAATATATTATGGGCTATTCACTATACATATGCAAAATGGCCAACATGATTCTTGAACAGTCCCTTCACGAATATGAAGCTGTATGTCGTAATCTAGTAACTCAGTTGATCGAAATGGTTTATATGGGATCAATAGAATATTCTCAAGATCATACGTTTGAAGTAGTGCGTTTGCAGCATGCTTGCTGTTTTTGCTCTTTCATTACATGCTGGCTATTTTTTCTTCTTCACTTTCCAGATGAGCCCCTCCCCCCCCTCTTCTCTTTCCTCAACATTGATACCCATCAAACATTGATATATAATTATGATTTTACTATTGGTGATCATTCACAAAATTGCTGCCATTTATTGGGCACCCATGTGGCATAAAAGATCCGTCTTGTGGACTCATTTGATCTGTGTATGTATTTCAGGTTGGGAACTTCAGGGTAGAACCACCTGGCCTATTCCGTGGACGTGGAGAGCATCCAAAGGTTCAGTTGTGCTATCCTATACTTTGAAATAATTTGTGCCAGTTTAATGATGCATCTTAGGCAGTTCCCAGTGATCTGGATGTCTTTGATGCCACTTCCTGTTTCGTGGTACATTTTATTCTTTTCATTTAGTTTGCATGGTTTTGTGCTGCAGATGGGAAAGTTGAAAAGACGAATCTTTCCAAAAGATATTACCATCAATATTGGGAAGAATGCTCCCATTCCAGAATGTCCTATATCGGGTCAAAGGTCAAAAACCTAAATCTTTTTGTTTGCAACTCTTAATATGCTTTTGGCATGGGGCTCATGTTTGGATTTGTCTAATCTATTTCTCTTTGGGTTTTGTGGCATTATACTATAAGCTTACACAGGTGGAAAGAAATAAAACACGACAACACTGTTACGTGGTTAGCATTTTGGAATGATCCAATCAACCCAAAAGAGCTCAAGTATGTCTTCTTGGCTGCCAGCAGCTCCTTAAAAGGGCAAAGTGACAAGGAGAAGTATGAGAAAGCGAGATTGTTGAAGGTGATCTCTGTTCTGGTTCAAGTCAATATTGTTTTGGATGGTGAAGTATACTATAACCCATAAGGACTATCAAAAACCACCGCCGAATGGATCATTGCTGTGCATTAAAATGATGGACAATGAGGGAAAGAGAGTTGGACATACCAGAAAATGACATGGCCCCATTCCCAAAGTTCCAACTTCCTCACCTTCACCTTCCATATTATGCAGTGAGGATTTGATGGATGTGATTTTCACATGGTCTGATGGTAGATCATACATTCCATTGATGTTTATTGTGGCTTGGTGTTGATATTTGGTGTTGTATTAGTAAGGCTTGAAGTCTTCTTATATACCACTTTATACGAATGCAGGATTACATAGACAGCATCAGGGAGACCTATACAAAACATTTTAACTCCAAGGATATTATGAAAAGACAAACTGCCATTGCGACATACCTTATTGATAGGCTGGCTCTCAGGGCAGGCAATGAAAAGGTAGCAAACTCATTTTGTGCTTACAATTCATTATTCTTTTCATTAGTAAGATAGTGGACACGTGGTTGAATTAAGTGACATTTACCTTCTTTTTTTTTACCACCTATGAAATTTAACTAATTTTTGTGTGAAAGTAGGTTTGTGGATTATTAAGGCATACTTGTTGAATATTTAGAGCTGTCTTCCTTATTAATGGTAAAAAAGAGGTGTTTTATCTGTCGAAGAGGAATGGAAGTACAATATTCCAGAAATCCCAAGGTTGAGCACTAGAAAATGGGCCATGAATACCCGCAGGGACGTACAAAAGCCAGATAGTAATTCGTTTCAGGAAAGGGCGCCAATCTTGAAAAAGTATTACTCTATTTTAATTAATAATTGCCTGCCATGCTAATTATTTTACCAATTTAAAATGATTTGTGTACCCATAATATAATGGCAGCATATGAGATGATTTGTGCTGTTCATGTCTTTACTTTTTTTTTTTTTTTAATTTTTAGGGCCTTTTGTTCCTATGGAGGACTTGACCAAGTAACTTGTCTTGGCCAAGGGGCGAATCCCTTGGCCGAGATGAGTCTAAATGCATGTAAATTATATTTTAAAAAAACGTTTGCATAACCTTTGCATGTTTTTTACATTTTCTTTTTTTTTTATATGCCCCAAGTTCTTTTTTTTTTATATGCGAGGCCGAGTAACTCGGCCAAGTCCAATTGGACTCGGCTGAGTGCCGTCACACTGGGAAGCATCACCAATCTACGGGTGAAATTAATTGGGCTGCATATGCAATCAGTTATGAAATCAACTGGGAAGGATCACCAGTCTAGTGTGCCTTTATGTAGTAGATTCCCAAAGATGGTTGCGATCCTTTTGAAATCCATTGTCAAAAAGGCTGGAAAAGGTGGCGTTTCGCCAATTGTTTATGACACAAGAAGGATTTACCAAACAAGGGGCACAGCTACCAGATTGAAAATTTGGAAACTGCTGATTTACCACATATTTCCTCTTTCACAAGTGCAGTCTGATTATTCAATGACCGCAATACATTGTTTAGAGTGTTGTTTCTTGATCTTGGTTCTTTCAGCTTCTATTCCATTACAGTATCATAAGCTAGAATGCCTCCCAAATTTCTACTTGCATGTAATCTCCAGTTACCGAGAAGGTTAATTATCTCTTGGTTTTAAAAAAGCTTATTTTTTGAGGACCTCGTTCTGGACTGCACATAGCTGTATGGCATCTTAAAGGACAAATATTCGGGTTTATACTATGGAAAAAAGAATCATCTGCCCCTTGTGCTGTGTCGGTTTAAAGATTCGAGAAATGTCTGGATGTAGTTAAATTGATTTTCTTTTCTTTGTTACAAGGAAAAGGTGTTAATGTTGTATATGAGATGTTATGGTTCTAAAGCATTTTCTCCTAGTTTTTGTTGTATATTGTCTAGAATCCATTGTAAGGAAAGCCTGAGGCATTTTCAAAAGCAATCTCAGTCCCCCCATTTGCTTTGGCTTGTTAGCCAAGAATTACTCATTCTTATATGTTTGATGTAGTCACTCAGAGTGTGAATACCTATCTTACATGTTAGCAATATCACTGGCAATTGGAACTTAAAGCTTTTTACTTCCCTTCGAGGTTTTCTTTAACATGTCAGGATGATGATGAAGCTGATACAGTGGGTTGCTGCACATTAAAAGTGGAGAATGTCACATTACTTCCTCTAAGTTCATTACAGGTATTATTGGACATCTCAAGTAATTGTTTAGCTTCTTATTCATTGAGATTGAGTTTGGTAATCTTCATCTTGGTCCTTTCTTTTGTTGCAGTTTGATTTCCTCGGTAAAGATTCCATCAGATATTTCAACACAGTGGAGGTTCTGCCTCCTGTATATAAAGCCATTGGAGATTTTCGTTCTGGTCATTGTCTATTCCCTGTAATGTAATCTGTTTCCCTATATGAATTTGTTGGCCTTGCCATTGAGTTCTTCTGTTCTTTTTATTTTGAATTAGAGAAAAAGGAAGGCGATGATCTTATTCCCTGAAAATGTAATCCATTTCCCTATATGAGTTTGTTGGCCTTGCGACTGAGTTCTTCTGTTTGTTTATTTTGAACTAGGGAAAAAGGAAGGAGATGATCTTTTTGACAAACTGGATACAAGTAAACTCAATGCTCATCTTAAGGAATTAATGCCTGGCCTCACTGCAAAAGTTTTCCGTACATATAATGCATCTGAGACCTTGGACCGACTGGTAATAGAATGTTCCTCATGGTTGGGGCTCTTGAAGTTCAAATTTTGCATAACTGCATTTCTCTCTCTCTCTCTCTCTCTCTCTATGTGGGTATATGTGGTTTCTCTCTCTCTCTCTCACTGTGAGTGGTTGAGTATGATGTGTGCATGCACACCTGCATGTGTGTGCATGCACACCTGCATGTGTGTGCATGCATGTGTATTCTACTGCCCCTCTTTGGCAGAATGGCTTGAGCATTGCATGAGGATTCACCTTTCTAAGTTTAGATTGTGGGACATAATGATCATTTTGTTATAGGGTTCAAAACCATAGGTCAATTGGAAGGCACCTCTTCCTACAACCTTTAGTTAGGTGTTGGACGCCAGCTGCCTGTCAAAAAATTTCATGTATCTAGTTTCTCCAAGGTTTTTAAGTACTCGGCTTGGGCTCGAAACTTGGCCCTTGCCCAAGTTGAATAACTTGGGCAAGTGAAATGGGACCTTTTTTCTTTTTTTGGTGTTTTTTGTTGGGATGGGGGTGGGGGTGGGGTGGGGGTGGGAATGGGTGGGTGGGTGGGTGCGGGGGTGGGGGTAGAGCGAGAGAGGGAGAAATGAATTCAGAGTGAGAGAGAGAGAGAGAGAGAGAGAGAGAGAGAGAGG